TCACTTACATATAAAGAGTATAGTAATTGTAGTGCTATTCATGATGTGGAAAAAGTGCCAATAAGCTAAGTCACTATCAATAAGGAAATGGCTAAATATGTTATTGATACTATGGACCACTATGTAAAATTTTAAAGAATGAGAAAGGGTACCAGTAGGTGGTGTGCTGGTTAAGAACGCTGGACTCTCACATGGCCGACCATGGTTTGAGTCCCAGATGTGACGGCTTGCTTTCTCTCTTTCTTGCTCTCTCTCTCTCTCACCTATACCTCTTTAATCAAATTTAAAAAAAAAAGGATAAAGTTAAAAAGAAAGAGATGGAGCTATAGGAATATTTCTATGGAGATCTAGAATGAAAAGATATGAAATACTATTGAATTAAAAAAAAATTAGTTAAGTTTTAAAAATATCACTTCTGTGAACTCTGCCAGGTGGGGAGTGGTACTACTAGAGTAGAAACAGAGAGGGTTCTCTAGATCAAAGTGTTCAAGGCCAACATCCCCTTTACCTGTTTTGGGAAGTACCAGTAAAGGGTGATAATGGGCATAAAGTAGAAAATTCCACTTGGCCATGGCTTTTCATTATCCTTAATTACTCAGTCTTCTCTTTTATTTTCACTGGCTTTCCATCTCATAAGCCTCTACACTTTACCTTATCCATTTATAACAATCTCTAGACTTCTCTTAAATAAGCTTCCTATCAAAAGTTATAAAAATTGGAAGCAGCTAGGTCTGAATTTTTGTGTTGCTCCAAAATTCATGTATTGAAATCTAATTCCCATATGTGTTGGTATTAAGAAGAATGACCTTTGGGAGGTGATTAGGTCATGAGTTTGAAATCCTCATGAATGGGATTTATGCCCTTATAAAAAAGGCTGAGGGAGCACCCTCACCCTTTCTGTCAGGTAAGGATACATAGAAGCCATCATCTATGAGGAAATGGACCTTAGTAGACACTGATTCTGCTGGTACCATGATCTTGAACTTCCTGGACTCTAGAACTGTCAGACTTACCCAGTCTAAGGTATTCTGTTATAGTTGCCTGAATGAACTAAGATAAAAGCCATTCATGAAACAGACACTTAAGTGTGTATGACAGAGCAGGTACTGTATTAGGTACCTTACTTAAAACAGTAAGAAAGTTTTCTACCTTTAAAATAGAAAGAAAGTTAGAAAAATTGTCAACAGTCATATAATCATCAAATAGTGGTACTGGTATTTGAAGTAAGATTTGCTGACACATGATTTTTTTTTTAAGAGATTTTTGCTATAGGGTGTATGCATTTGCTGGAGAGAGAAAAAGTGAGAAATCACCCGCTTCCCTAGGGGGATTGCTATGCTGCAATCTCTTCTCCTCCATTCTCTTCTTGGGATTTTTAGGTATATACGCACACATGCCCAGTGTGAGTTTTAAGCCTCTGGGTCTCGAATTCGAACCATGGTTGATTATGTGGGAGTCCAGTGATGGGTGTATGCATTTGCTGGAGAGAGAAAAAGTGAGAAATCACCCGCTTCCCTAGGGGGATTGCTATGCTGCAATCTCTTCTCCTCCATTCTCTTCTTGGGATTTTTAGGTATATACGCACACATGCCCAGTGTGAGTTTTAAGCCTCTGGGTCTCGAATTCGAACCATGGTTGATTATGTGGGAGTCCAGTGATGTAACCGTTAAGCCATGTGTGGCGCCCATAATATGCTTTTGCTATGCTTTAATTATATTACAGGTCTGCTTCAATTTGATAGGACTTGCATATCCCAAATCTCAGCACAGGCACTGTAGGATGAGTTGTTTTTAATGGTTAACTATAGTAAGCTTATCACCATGTATTAGTTATCATGAATTTGAATACTAAAAACACTTTACTTAATTAACCTTGATATACTGATGTAATTTCTTAATATTTAAAGAACATTTAACTATAGTTGTCACTTATGTACGTCAGTCTTGTCTCCTCCATTAGACTGAGCTTAAGAGCAGAGATCTTGTTTTTTTAATTTTTTTTTAATCTGATATATCTTTGAATCTCCAGTACTTAGCACAGTCCCTGACACTAGGTAGTTCACATCTGTTGAATTAAAAAAAAACCAATTTTTTTCTGTAGGTGGGCAAAAGATGCATATAATTTTAAAACTTTACTATTGAAACTGGCAATATTAAAAAAGGCAACAAAATGGACTCAGTCATTATTTACAGAGAATAAAATCAACTTTTACATGACAGCTTGAGGGCTATCTCTGCCTCAGCTTTATCTGTCCCAGTGTTTTAAAAATTAGGAAATGTCACATAAAAACTGGATTTCAGGTTGCTTTTAAAAAAGCAGATCAAGCAAGACTAGATTCACATTTCCTTGTGGCAACAGACAACTGGAGCTGAGGATCAATTTCTCTTTTAGAAGGTACCTATTTCATACTTTAACGTTCACCAGTTTGATTTTACATTTCCATTTCTTTGGATTATAGAAAATATGAAGCTAAAGTGCCGTGTTTGGGGAAGTACAAGATGGGAATATGGCAAAGACAGATATTGCTATCACTTTCAATTACATTTTCTAAGTAAGAATAATGATTTCAGGTGGATTATGGATCAAAGAGGAGCTAAGCTGGAAATGCAATACAAAAGCTGGATCACAACTTCCCACAGAAACAAATAGACATTTGGAATAAATTTCCAAAAACTTTTTAAAAAGTGAAAAAAAAAAAAAAAAAAAAAGAAATTCCTATGTTAGGTACTATGATTGTTTTGAAAAGGCCAGAAAATTAAGACTAAGCATGCTGTATATGCCAAGGACTGGATTTGCATTTAATAAATGGAATTTAATAAGTAGTGGACGTCATTACAATTTCTTAATCAGAAGGGAAAATTAGTAGGTATGAATGATTTAGACAAGAAAAATAAGCCACTGCTGGCAAAAAAGACTAAGTAAAAGACTGGTGAAACAGTGAAAGCCAGGTTTCCTGTAGGTAATGAATTAGAAAAAGTGTCATTCTAAGAAATATCCTAAAGAAGTTATCCAAAAGACATACTAGTTGTGTTAATTAAAGGGAAGGGAAGAAAGGATGAGGTTGAGAATTGCTTATAGGTTTGTAATCAATTGTCTATGAGAATTAGGGTGTCAATGGGGTAAAAATAGGAAAAAACAAAAACAAACAAACAAAATAAACAAGGCCATGAAGGTAAGTTCTGCCTCTAATAGAATCATCTAAGTAAGAACTTGGCTACTCTGGGTTTGTTTCTTCATTGGTGATTACATCCTATGATAGCCCTGGGGCTGGACTTAAGCACAAATACTAGGTTCACCATTTATTACCTGAGTGAGCTTGGGTAAATTATTTAACTTTTCAATTTTCTCAACAATAAAATGGGGCCAATAATGGTACCTACATCTCAAAAGACTGGTATTAAATGACCGATGGAATGTAAAGAAAAATATTAGCTGTTATTATCTATGTAAAGAAAGTAATGGACCAACTATTAGGTTGTTGGGAAAGTCATGACGTTCTTTGTTTTTCTATGCAAAAATGTGTCATGACTTACCTAACAACCCAATAATTTCTAATTCCACTTTCAGGTCTGAAATCTAAAATTCTCAGAATTATTGTACTTCACTGAAAGGAAAATATAATTTGTGATATATATATCCCAAAGAGAAAGAGATTTCAGTGCTGTTGCAGTCTCCCTGACAAAGAAGCGCTGCCATTAAGCAGGACACAGGAGAAATTTCATTATAAAGAGATGGGTAAGAGTGTTTCTTAAAAGTAGATGAACAATGCAACTTTTATATAAAAATTTAGCTATCAATCACATACAGATAAAAACTGATTAAATGATAACAATAGAGGAAAAGAAAAAGAACAGATAGAGGAGGAAAATCCTAACAGCAAGTCACAGGACTAGAATGTCAAGAACAATTAATACAAAGAAAAGTGAGAATAAAAACAAAGTGAGAATAAAACTAGAGACTACCAAATACACAAAGGGCATTACTATAAATTAAAAGCAGTGTGGGGCCAGGTGGTGGTGCAGTGGTTAACACAACTGGACTCATATGGGAAGGACCTGGATTTGTGTCCCTGGATCTCCATAAGCATTTGCCTTCATGATATAGGCAACAGGTGGAATACAGTGTAAGGACCACTGGAAGTACCTATTCCCCTCTCTCATGGAAGAAACAAATACACTTTTAAAATAAAAATAAAAACATAGAAAATGGTTATAGATACCAGATACAGTGTGGGAAGAGGGTGGGAGAAGGAGGAGAGTCTGAAGAAAGACATTAAGGAGAAAAATAGAGAGGCAAGAAATTACTGGGACAAAGAAATGGGTTATTATTGGTTGATGATAACATGTGTAGTATCCCCAACTGGACTGGTGAGAAATGTATTCATGTTGGAATGTTCACTTTCCAAGCTATGTGACATATGTGAATGAATGTATAAAATAAAATAAAATAATAAAAATAAAAGCAATAGAGATAGACACCATGCAACAAGAATGATATCTACACAGACTTTTCTTAAGTATACAAAGTCTTTCCACAAATCTCTGGATGTTCAAGAGGTACTGAGCAATAAGAAATTGGAAGTAAAGTTGCAAATAGATAATTCAATTAAGTTTAGAGCACAAGGAAGAAAGAAAAGCTAGAAAAGAAAGCCCTTTTTAAACACTGGAGTGAAAAGAGGGAGAAGGTGGAGACAAAATTCCTAAAGTTTGTGTTAGAGGAAGATTAGTACACATGCAGCTTTTTCTCTCACATAGCTGACCTTGGTTCGAGTCCCAGACCTAGAGGCTTCTTATAAAATTATAGTTTTATTACCTAAAACTATAATTTTATGAGACACATAAACCATTTTGTTCCAAATCCTCATATTCTATTTAAACATGATATATGCACATACAAATGGCTCTCACAAAAAAAATTTATAAAGAGAGGCAGATATTAAACAAAAACAGGTAGACAGGAAAAGCTCAGGAACCACTGAAATAAAGAAACTGAATAGCTGGGATAAGATCTATAAATGGGTGTCTTTGAAGAGAATAATAGACAGTATCATATTTCTGCCCTCAAATATCTACAGGTTTGATTCCTTACTTCCTTCATGTTTTTACTTCATGGTCACCTTAATAAAGCCTTGCTTGCTCATCTTATTTAAAGTTGCAAACTATGCCCCATGCCCTATTTTCCTTGTCTACCTTTTTTCAAAAGCATGCATCATTATCAAACATATTAAATGATTTTACTTATCATATTTAATCAACTCTCCAAAAATTCCATTTTAAGATGCATAAGTAGTTTATGCACCACTAAGGCAGGAAAAGTACTGCTAATTAATTACCTAGGATACCAATGGTTGACATTTCCACATTTGAACATCTTTCAAATCAGGAGGCAGGTTGGAATCAATTATTCTCTGTCACCTCAAATGACAGTAAGCCCATGAGGGCAGATATTCTTAACAGTTTGTTCAATGATATTTTGGACACTGCGTGAATTCATGGTAAATGCTCAAATATTCTGACTTAAATAAATGAGCAAATGACTGTAGAAAAAACTCACGCCAGGCACATGTGTGTGTGTGCCCAAAATCCAGAAAGAAGAATGGAGGAGAATGGGTTGCCTTCTGTCTCTCTCCATTTCTCTGGTGAGTGCACGTGCCCTATAGCAAAAATTTCTCTCATAATAAAAGTATTTGTGAAGAACAAATAATACTAAGTTAATACCAGGACCAGCAGATGGCATAATGGTTAAACTGCTGGACTCGCACATGGCTGACCTTGGTTCGAGTCTTGGACCTAGAGGCTTCAAACTCATGCTGGATGCGTGTGTGTGTCCAAAATCCTGAGAGGAGAATGGAGGAGAAGGAATTGTGAAGTGGCTAACTCCCCTGGGGGGGCGGGGGGGAAGGTGATTTCTTGCTTTCTACCTCCTGTCTCTCCAGCGAGTACACCCACCCTACGGCAAAAATATCTCTCTAAAAAATACTAAATTAATACCTAGAAATGTACAAATAAAACTGTGAGACATAAAAGATGAAGAGAAAAATATAAACTTATTAGAAAAGCCTGACTGTTCACAAAGGAATGACAATCAAACCGAAAGGTGACTTACCATCAGAAACAATAAATGCATGAAGACAGAGTATCATTTTTAAAGTGCTACAAGAAAATGGCTATCAAATCAGAATTGTTATCTTGCCAAATCATCTATTTATGACTAAGGAAGAAAAATAGGGCCAGCAGATGGCATAGTAGTTACGTCGCTGGACTCCCATGGTCAACTACCACCTGAGTCCCTGATATAGTGGCTTGAAACTCAACTGAGTGTGTGTGCATATGTGCCCAAAATCAGAGAGGAGAATGGAAGAGAAGGGATTGCAGTGTGGCCATTCCCCCTTGGGGGTGGTGATTTCTCACTTTCCCTCTTACTGTCTTTCTCTCTCTCTCTCTCTCTCCCTGCAAGGGCACACACCCTAAGGCAAAAAAAATTCTCAAAAAAAGATCAAGGGCTAAGAGAGAAAAAAACATTTCAAAAAGCTGAAAGCAAAGAGTGAGGCCAGTTGAACAAAGTAAAGTATGTACCTAGCTAGGAAAGAAAAAAATAAATGAACTCAATGAAAAGAAACAGATTGTGAGAAATAATAATGGGGAAACATATTAGTAAATATATTCAAAATCCAAACAACTTGATTGTACAACAAGTGCATATGTATGTTGTTAGAATGAAAAAGAGCTGAACTGAAAATGGATTTATGAATTAGTGGAATACTTGACAAGACTGTAATAATGGAAACAATGTACTTAATTAATTTAGAGAATATTTATATACTTAATGTCAGTTTCTGTTTTAAACAGTTCTTTAAGTTTTCACTACTCACAAGATACAACGAAATATCTCCTCTTCCCCTCCTCTCACACATACAGTTACCATACAATAGCGTCATGAAGTAGTACCTGCAAAGAGCTTGGGTCATACTTGCATCTTTTACATTTGGATCCGTAGTAAGGCTCCTGATGAGAACTGTAATCATCTGAAGAGGAATATGCTGCACAAGGCTTGCCAATGCTACAGAAGGTTCAAATGAAGCATCTGTTTTTGTAATTAAAAATACAGCATGAAGGTTCAAGTAAAGTATTTAAAGAGAACAGTACTTTGCCAAAAACAAAACAAAATGTAATTGTAGCAAAGGTGTCAATCAAGAAGCAATTATTACACATCTTATAGGTAAAGTAGACTCTAATACACAAGGAATGTTGTGTATTACAAGGTAAGAGATTGAGAATGAATAGTAATAATCACTCATTCATAGGCAGAACATCAAAATATAATAACTTATTCATAGTTGCCATAGTCTATGTTACTTTAATTTCTTATACTCTTTAAAACTAAGTTATTATTAAGCTAAAATATTAATTTGCAAAACAGTAGTCTGGAAAGAAACGTAAGGTATAATTTCAGTTCCCACATCAGACACTCCAAATAACTTAAAATTCTTACAGTATTGACATTGCTCTAAGGAAGATATAAAAAATCTCTTAAAAGTCAAAATTAGGGTGAATTTTGAGGGGAACTTTGCTAAACTACATAAAAGTTAAACAAATTCAACACAAGCATTTGTACTGCTACTACTGAAAAGTCTGGGGGGAACTTAAAAGCAGTAACAACAAAGAAAATACAGGGGAACTTATGAAAAAATAAACTAACTCAGATACTATACATATTTAGTTGGTAATTCATAAATGATTCAATTTCATCAAGATGTATACATGGAATTTGATCAACTTCACCGTTATTTCTGGTTATGTAAGATAAAAGGAATCTCTCTCACATGTGCTGTAGTTAGGGAGTCCCCATTACTGGTATACTTAAAAGAATGGCTGTACCAAGTTAATGAAGAAATGAGTTTTGTGTTGGGCCCATTATTTCACAACCTACAGATTTTGAAAGCTCCAAGGCAAAATAAGGAATATAGATGTACAGCTTAAATTCCTGGGTGAGAAACAATTTTCTAGCCAGTTATCACTTGACACTTCTTGGCTTTCTGAGGATAGAGTTCATGGGCACACAAACAATCATTAAGTCCTTGTAGTCTCCCTTCCTTCAGTCTATCTGTACTCCCTTTTCCCATACACTACTACAGATAGAAAAAGACAATACTTTATGTAGTTAACTAGGATAAAAAACTGTACAATCCAAGAATTCAAAAATGGAAGGATTCAAAAACAGGGAAAGAAAATTCAACAAGATGATAAAGTCACATACTATACTAACATGGTAAACTTTATGCTGCTCTTAGTCACCAACGAACAGAAGCTTTATATAGTATCTGTCATCCTCTCAAAGCATTCCATAACTGGAACAGAGGTTGGGTAATTCAGTAACTTGTTTAGTATCAAAGGTCTTTGACCTAGACGTTCTCTCAACCTCTAAAATAGGAAAGCTGCCCGTTTTTTACGGTAAAAAGTGGCGTCTTGAATAAGGTAGTGGATGGGAATAAAATTTTGGAGGAAAAAATTAGGATTTTCTCGTTGAAGTTTTCGAGGCAGGAAGCAAACATGGTAGCATCCCCCCCTTCCCCTCCCCCCCCTCACACACACACACACATACCGACTTTCTGAAAGATACCTCCTGAAATAGAACACTCACCTGTGGAGGAGATGCTAGCAAAAACTTCTTGTAGGGAAGGCAGTAGTGTGGAGGGCTCGGCCTTCCAGATATTCTGCAGCAAGTTACTCACTTTTGTCACCTGGGAGACATATTCCCTCAGCTCCTTCTCCTGGGTGGACACGCACTGGAAGTGGCCTATCGTTCGAACCAGCTGTTGACAGAAAGTGATGGACAACTTCCCTTTGGGGATACACTGCACGAAGTCGGTCAGAAGGTCGCTCAGTCGGGCACAAAGCAGTGGCTCAGGCCGCTCGCACACCATCCGCAACACCTCCACCTGCAGCAGGCTGAAGAGGTCCAGCACCGACGGGCAGCTCATGATCAGCTTCAGGCCGTTGTGAATATAGTCCAGGATGGCTACGTCCTTCCTGTCCAGCGAGTGGTAGCCCTGTTGCAGGAGGCCCAACACGAAGGTCTTGTTGAAGAAGGACTCGAACTCCGGCCGGTGGTAGCGTGCATAAGCCTCCAGCACCTGGTGCCCGACCTGCCGCTGGAAAGGGTCCTCGCCTTCCAGGATGAGCCGGGTCGTCAGGTCAAACATGGCCTCGCACTGCGCCTCGTCTAGCCCATGCTCCGCTGACTCCACCACCTTCCGCACAATCACTCGCTTTAGTGGCAGCGGGTGCGATGAACTCACCAGGCCCTCCAGGATCTTGTCCATTGTCGCCACTGCAAGGCCAGCGCCAGGCGGTAAGGAGCGGGCGGCGGCAGTCCTGACGTGGGGCGAGAGAGCCCAGGGGTGGAGGTGAACTTGGAGCGCAGCAGCAGCAGGACCGGCCACCGACACTGCCGCCTCAGCAGCCACCTTTATCGGCGAAGGAGGGACCTGCCAG